TTTTTGTCATAGGAAGTGGATTTGGAAGAAAGACTTGGTGAGTTGGATCTTAGAAGTGATTCAGATGTTCCTGATGTTCCTCCACCAACGGACAGCACTCCAGAAATCCTCAAAAAGGCTTTGTCAGGCTTGTCTGCCAGGTATAGTAAGCCGAACAGCTCTCAAATTTAATAGCTGCTGGCTAAAATTCTTACAGATTATGTTGCAGTTTTAATTCTTGCAGATTGTACTGCACTTCTAAATTTCATGAGATACACATAAAAATTCAAGTATAAATTTTTACTAGATATCATTGATTTATTTATGTTTTGATAGTCCTTTCAGTGTATTATTTTTTGCATATGCCTGAAGATGGCCCATTGTATGCATTTCTAAGTAAACCACTGCAAATATTTATGTAAACACTTGCCATTGCATGGACTGAGCATTGCAATAAAATGGGCTAAAGAATAGTCATTGGGTTTGATATCCAGAACACTTATTTCTGAGGGTTATAATAAACTGATTTCCTACATCCAGGGTTAAGGGGGGGTGGTATTTGTGTATAAATGAGAAAGGAAGAAGTGTAAGTTCTCTGGGTGAGCTTGGCTAGCTTTTTGTGACATCATTTTCACTTCTAAATAATTTTTCTTTGCAGTTAAATACAACATAACTTTTATTGTCATACTTTTTAAAGCAATGTTTAATTTTTTTTTTGCTATCTGTTTTCAAACCTAGGTTTCTGCCTCCAACCCCTGTTCACAGGACCTTAAGGGCTAGCAAATGCCCCGGAGCTGTATATGTGTATAGACAGACAGATAATTGTGGAGATTTGTGTATTCATGGAGGCTAATGAATAAAGTCCCTAGTATAACTTTTTTTATATGGTCCCTTTACAACCCTTGATCAGTCAAGCCCTTCTGGAGGTGGCATTTTGCATTCTGTTTTTTTTTCACTAATGCAATGAAAGAGGATTTAGGTGTGTGGTAGATCACGTACCAAAAAACTACCTAGTAAAATGAATGTGTTGAGCATAAGGTATATATGATACACATAACAAACCAAGCAATACACAATGTATATTTTAGATGCAACTTAGGTCTTGCAAGAGTCAGAAGAAGGACCTCCAATCCAGACTATGATTAAAAACTTCCAAGTTCTTGTAAAAAAACCTGATCTCCAGTAGGTATCTCCAATAGCAGTGTCAAACTACAGTTTTTTGACTTGCTCCTTTTTTAATCTGTTGCCTGTTTCTGTTGTGATGTGTGGGAGCTATAAACAAACGTATTTTTCCCAGGTTTCAAAAAGCATGTTTCTAAACTGTATCAGCTGTGAGCAGAATGAGATGTTCTCTACTGCCATCACACTGCAAGGAGTATCTAGTTCCTATCACTTTCAGAGTTCTTTTACCATGTTAAATGCCATGGAAGTCTTAGGTCTCCCAGTCAGGCTTGTTACAAAAGGCACTTGCATGGTGATACCTCAAAGCTTGCGACTAAGAGGTGCAGACAAAACCTTTCTTGTTTCACATGCTTGAAACTCTTTATCAGAGTGTTTGCACAAAGGTGTTTTAAGTGCAAAATTAAATTTTGGTGCTTTATGAATGCTAGATTTAAAATTACGTGCTAGTTTAGTACCTGGCAGTCCCACGAGAGCTGTTGTCATAACGCTCAACATGAACAAGTTGCACTGTAACTCTCAGAAATACTGTTTCTCTTTGTATTTGGCCTTTAGAGGAAATGGTATCCGTAACTTTCCAGTGGAGAGTTAGGGTACAGTGAACTTGTGAGGTGGCTTCCTAGATTCTGCAGCTTGTAGTCTTACTTAGTGAAACTGTCTTTCCAGTGCTGTGCTTGTCAACACCCTCAAGATAGTATGTGTTATTTTAACATTATTCTTAAGGGAAGTTGAATTCTTCTAAAGGAGTCTTGCTCACTATAAATATGCCACTAGGAGCAAGCTGCTAGTCTATAGCCCATGTCATAGAGGAGCATAAAGCATCTGTTGTGATAAAGCCCATTGTACCTTTGTTCTGATACTTAAGGCAAATCCAATTAGTGTCTTTAGCTGCCATTAACCTGCTGATAAATAACATACTTGAAAATCAAATTAATATAATTGAAGCTTATATTAAAATTGGGGTATGATGCAAAACTAACAGTGACCCCTGAATCGGGTGTATCTCCTGATGCAGCAAAGAAGCACAAGACTGGTATAAAGCAAAATATTAGAAATAATTTCTTTAAGCTATAATAGTTTTTTGTGTGTTTAGCAGTAACTTGTGATTAGTTCGTTCAGTGTACTTTTAGAGGCAAAATTCTTTAAGGGAAAAACACAGGCAAAAGAGAACACTTACTGAAGAGCAGTATGAACAATAAAATACAGACTATTCATAACCAGAAACATTTTCATGGCAGAGTGGAGTGTGTAATGAGATTTTTAACTTTTTTTTTCTTTTTTTAAATGAACTGGGCTCTTGATTTTTCCTGATGCTGGCCTTTTGGGGCAAGAGGTTGGGGTATGCGTGTAGGAGTAACATTTTGGTTATTCTAGAAATTACAAAAAAAAAACCCCAAACAGCAAAGACTTTCCAGTTGTTTGGGATTTTTTTTTAATAAATAATTCTTATTTTTTTAAAGACAGCATTGTGTACCTTGAATACTGTGTTCAGTTTTGGGCCCCTCACTACAAGAAAAACATTGAGGTGCTGGAGGCTGTCCAAAGAAGAGCAACAAAGCTGGTGATGGGTCTGGAGCACAAGTCTTATGAGGAGCAGCTGAGGGAACTGGGGTTGTTTAGCCTGGAGAAAAGGAGGCTGAGGGGAGACCTTATTGCCCTCTACAACTACCTGAAAGGAGATTGTAGCGGGGTGGGTGTTGGTCTCTCTTTCCCGAGTAACAGCAACAGGACAAGATGAAATGGCCTCAAGTTGCTCCAGGGGAGGTTTAGACTGGATATTGGGAAAAATGTCTTCACTGAAAGGGTTGTCAAGCATTGGAACAGGCTGCCCAGGGAAGTGGTTGAGTCTCCGTCCCTGGAGGTATTTCAGACCTGTAGATGTGGCACTTGGGGATGTGGTTTAGGGGTGGACTTGGCAGTGTTAGGTTAGTCGTTGGGACTTGATGATCTTAAAGGTCTTTTCCAACCTAAATGATTCCGTGATTCCATGGTAACAGGAATTTCTATTCTGCTTTCCTTTGGTAGCCACAAGCAGCTGCAAAGGTCCACAAGGGCAAAAGAATACAGCTAGTTTGACCCATCACTCCTCATTGCTACATGTTTTCCTGTCCTGGTTCCAGTGTTCACAAGAGCACAGGATTGCTTTCAGTAGATAACCCTCTACCTGGCAAAATAGCTACTTGGCTGCTATGGAAAGTTGGTGATGACCTGTTTTCTGGTTTTTGTGGTGGTTTTGTTTTGTTTTGGTTTTTTGTTTTTTTGGTTTTTTTTTTTTCACCTGTTTTCTGGTTTTTGTGGTGGTTTTTTTTTGTTTTGTTTTGTTTTTTTGTTTTGTGTTTTTGGTTTGTTTTTTTTTTTTTGTTCTGTTACTCTTACGAAGAATCATATGCTTTTTACCTGGCAGCCTTTATTTCATATGTAAGCCTTTACATGGCTGGGCCCCCATCAGTCTTGATGATTATGTCATGCTTTTTGAGGGTCCTGATCTATTTTCACAGCAGCTTCAATGTGGGGTTGATCCATTTAATTGCAAATGACGTTTGGGATGGGGACTCATGGGGGAGGAAGAAGGGTGGCTAACTTTAATTTCTTTTACCGTGCATCCTGTTTAGTTGGATAGTTGGTTGATTCTGTATTTTTTGTTATGTGTTTTATTAAGCACAAAAATTTCTGGAACTCACAGTTTCTAATACACTTTAATCTCCAATTAGTAAAGGAAGGGGCATTTATTTTCATTTATAACTGCTTGCTTTTTATTCTCTTTTTTTAAATAGATGGAAAAATTGGTGGATTCGTGGAATTCTCACTCTAGCTATGATTTCTATGTTTTTTCTGGTCATATACCTGGGATCATTTATGCTGATGCTTCTGGTAAGTTTGTTTAAATACATTCTGCCATGCAAGTGTTACTTGATCTCTTTGTTCATCGTGCCTAAGGAAGCAAACTGTACAAACAGTTCAGAGCAATTTGTCTCTTATTTGTGCAAATGTAAATACTTCTGAAAAACACGGGACAGATTCACAACTGGCCCTTGTGGATTAAGGACTTCTTATATACTGTAATTATTTTTTTTAAGTAGGTAAAGTAACTCTAAAATGTTGAACGATTGTTGCCATGAAGTTTACTAAAATACTGTCATCCATTTCCTTGTCCAGTTCCTATCACCTACTGTTACATTCTTTGAGGTTTGTGTTTAAAAAAAAAAAAACAAAAAAACAAACCACCAAAACCACCACCACCACCAAAAAAAAAAAAAACCCCAAAAGACCCAAACCAAAAAAACCAAAGAGACACAAGTTTCATTTCTGAGGCTGATGAAAGCAGGCAGCTCTGGTCTGCTGTCTGTGACTGGCACTGAAAGGCTTTCCTCAGGCATGCTCCATTCATTCCCTACTTCTCTACAGGGCTGCTTTGTGGCCTTGGGTTTATCTGTAGAATGGAGCTAGATGCCTTTCCAAGGTACAGAGACAAAGTGCATTTTTAGTTCACGAAGCAAAATAATAATAATAATATTCATATAAATAAATATAATATTCATACCCGGTCAGCCTGTACTGCTTCTTTCCATAATTTTTATTGTTAGTGTTTTTATTGAATAACGGTTTAACTATCTTTCCCAGTCATGGCAAGTAACAGGCAGAAATATGGCTTCTAAAACACTGAAATTGGTACTTCTGGGTAATGGCTGTGACTTTTTTTTTTTTTTACTCTTAAGTTTGTTTAACTGTCAAAATGTGCTTTTACTTTTTTCATGGCCTCCTGTGAAACACCTTTTGGATTGTATTCATAGAATCATTTAGGTTGGAAAAGACCTTTAAGATCATCAAGTCCCAACGATTAACCTAACACTGCCAAGTCCACCCCTAAACCACATCCCCAAGTGCCACACCTACAGGTCTGAAATACCTCCAGGGATGGGGACTCAACCACTTCCCTGGGCAGCCTGTTCCAATGCTTGACAACCCTTTCAGTGAAGACATTTTTCCCAATATCCAGTCTAAACCTCCCCTGGAGCAACTTGAGGCCATTTCATCTTGTCCTGTTGCTGTTACTCGGGAAAGAGACCAACACCCACCGCGCTACAATCTCCTTTCAGGTAGTTGTAGAGGGCAATAAGGTCTCCCCTCAGCCTCCTTTTCTCCAGGCTAAACAACCCCAGTTCCCTCAGCTGCTCCTCATAAGACTTGTGCTCCAGACCCATCACCAGCTTTGTTGCTCTTCTTTGGACAGCCTCCAGCACCTCAATGTTTTTCTTGTAGTGAGGGGCCCAAAACTGAACACAGTATTCAAGGGGTGGCCTCACCAGTGCTGAGTACGGTAGGATGATCACTTCCCTGCTCCTGCTGGCCACACTATTCCTGATACAAGCCAGGATGCTGTTGGACTTGTTGTCCACCAAGGCACACAGCTGGCTTATGTTTAGCTTGCTGTTGACCAGCACTCCCATGTCCTTTTCCACTAGGCAGCTTTCCAGCCACTCTTCCCCATGCCTGTAGTGTTGCATGGGGCTGTTGTGACCCAAGTGCAGGACCCAGCACTGAGCCATGTTGAACCTCATACAATTGGCCTCGGCCCACCGATCCAGCCTGTCCAGGTCCCTCTGCAGAGCCTTCCTACCCTCAAGCAGATCAACACTCCTGCCTTTCA